GTTCCTGTGATTCCTTTTTTATCTGATAATAATTTATGATCATTTTTTCTCTTATCACAATGATGCCATATGGTTTATCTTCCCGAGATAAAAGGATTTTAATGATGAATTAATACTTTAATTGGTCTGATTTTTTAAATCTTTTTTTCAATGCAATCTATAACAAAATTAGAGAGTTCAATCTTAGCCGAGGGATCCTTATCACTTGCCTATTCTAATGATATTTTAAAAATGTGTTAGATTTTACTGTTAGATAATTTTGTTAGATAATTTTACTCATCTTATTTGTCTTTCTAATTAAAAAAAAATTTACCCTTCTCTCAGCTTTCTCTGAATATATAAAAGAATTCCTTCATGTTTCAATGCTATCAATAAATTTCATTACAATGATGTTTTTTTCTCGCAATTTTATTTTCACTTTATTTATTCAGCCAAATGCAATTATTTTGTGTTTAAAGAACTCATCGATATCAGAAGGCATTATTTAAAAGGCATTATTGCGATAAAAAGCTGAAAACCTAATTGGATGGATGATATTCTCTTCGCAGGGCCTCAAATGATTACCGAGAAAAGTTAAATAGGACGTCAATTTTTCCTTTCTATCCATTCGCCATTTTCACGCCTATTTGTTATTGAATAATTTTGTAGAAGAGAAAAAAAATGAAAAAAAACAAGGGAATATAAGTGCTTCTGAATTATTCATTGCTTTAAATATAACATTGGCAGTTAAATGAAAGGCATAAATAATTGAATTGATGGGAGAAAGATATTTCCAATTTTTACATTTTGAATAATTTAGTAACAAATTATTGATTTATTATTTTATTTCATTTGTTAGCAAAGATTTGCAATCCGAATCAGAATGATTTACAAGAAGGGATTTTTTCAGAGGAATAATAAATCATCTGCTGTTGCAACATCTTAACAAACTTCTTACATACATGATTGATAGAAAATTTTCGTTATCAATGTCTCGTGATAATATCAATCATTCAATTTGCTTTTTTTCCACTCAACAATTTTTTTTTCCGCTAACCGAAATAACAAAATTTTGAATTTTTATTTAATAACTTCTTTTTGTTTCTTCTTTCATTTATAATAGAAAATTTCGTCAAGCTAATTTGAAATCAAAATCTTAGAATTTTGTCAAGCTAATTTGAAATCAAAATCTGAAAATCACAATTTAAAATTCTCTAGTTGAACAATCAATTCCATATTAAATTTTAGCAACTATGGGAAGTTTTCTGCCATCATTAGTTGGACACTTTATGTTGCGTGAGATATATTCTGTGTTTTATCATTTTGCTGATTATGCTTCTATCTCCTTCTCTGGAATTTTACTGATCGATGAAGTATTCGAAACTTTAAAATATAAAATGTCATAAATAAACTTGAAAGATCTTTCGACATTAACATATGCAGATAAAATGTGAATTGATAATTTCAACAATCCATTCTCAGACATTCAAAATAGTGAAGTCTTACACAATTTTTGAAGTGTCATAATACTAACATATCCTGAAATCATAGCATCTTTGCTCAAAATCAAGATTTCACTTGTCTAAGTGAAAGTTATTTGAAAGAGAGCTAGAAAGCAATAATGAATTAGCAAAATCAAAGGATAAATCTGAAATTTTATTTGAAAAAGGTACGATAATTCATCTTTATTATAGCATAACATCCTTGAGATCCAGTTCTTACACTAAAAGAGTGCTTCCTTGAAAGATAAATGCAAAAGAACATTTTCCCATTATGACAAATCAAGCAATAATTTGGAAAAGAAAACTCGAAAAATCCAAAACAAAAGCTAAACATATATTTACCAAATCACAAAATCTATTCAACATCACGCAATACCTTATTTATCCTTATAACAAGATTCGGCTTATTATCAGTTTCCCCACGAAGACACGTCATTTGTATTGTGTTTGTCCGTAATTGCTATATAAATTTCATCTGTTCAATGAACTATTAGTTTTCACTGCTATAGGTTGTGTGCGTAAAATGCTACTATTCGAAGAGGCAATCTGACGAGTTTTTTTAGGAGGCGAAGAAGGTAATGCACCAAGATCCAAATTAATTGCCAGACAAACCGGTAAGATCAATGGACATGTGAGAATCTCTGCAAATTGAAAACCTTAAAAACTGTATTTGATTGCAAGGAACAATGAATTCAATGGTCTATGATTTTAGTGAAAAATTTAGGAACTAAAACAGATGAGAAAGATACCATTTCGCGGATGACATAAGCGCCTACGCATCTAATGATATCTTGGAAAAGTCCCTTAAATTAAAAAATGCTATTTGGGGCGGTTACATCTTAAAACAAACCTTTGAGAAGAGGCCTTTTGTTCTCATTAACATCCAGGATGGAACTAACCAATCTCTTCAAATCATCACTCCAGTGTTCAGAGATTGGATTATGCTTTCCCTGAAACACTAAAAAGGTCTCATTTCTGCAAAAATTGAAATACTTTCATAAAGGCTGGTATAATATGTTACATTTCCCATGCGATTTGTGAATACAAATTAAGATAAGTCTTTTTTAAAAAAAATTTACAAATACTAAAACATACTTTTGTGATTTTCATGACGATTGATGGCAAGTTTTCGCCATCAAATGCTCGTTTTAATTCAGCAAGTTCATATAACACACAGCCCAAAGCCCATAAGTCACTTTTCTGATTGTATGCTCTGCCTAAAACTTTTAAAGTATTTAATTTGTTGTTCGTTTACAGATAAAGGGACTTGCAAAAGAAAAAGTCAGTAAAGAAATCATAAAAAATAGTATGGGAGAAAACTGAACAAACAGAAAGAAAACAAAAAACGAATAAAATGTGGAGTCCAATATTACCTTCACAGATTTCCGGAGAAAGATAATTTGGCGTGCCAATAATCGTAGATGCTAAACTTCTTGTTGATAACTCTTTACTAATTCCGAAATCGCTCAATTTAACAATGGTTCGTTTTTTATTTAATAAAATATTTTGCGTTTTCAAATCTCTATGAAGTATTTGCTTGGAATGCATATATTCAAGTCCAATAGCAACCTACAATTTACGCTTTCCGATTTTTTATCAATCAGTAAAGGAAATATAAAAGTAATAGGAACTGTAATTAAAAAATGCACAATATCCATCATTACTATTATGATTGTTCATTCAAGCAAACAGGGATGCTAAAGTTCGTATAAATTTCGTCTAAGGAACGTTCAAATTCATGAACTGTAAAAAGAAAACAGAGTTTGTCCAAAGATTTATATACTAACAAAAGCCCTTACTATTCTACTGAAAATCTGATCGCCAAAAAGCTTTGAATGCATGCAACAGCACCGTTTTAATTTCCTCTTTGATAATTCATACTTTATTATCAAAGACCACCTGTGTAAAATAATTGAGTACAGTATTCTCAACAAATTTAATTCCTTTTTGTTCCAAAATCATTTTATCCATTGTTCCACCCTCAGCATATTGCATGACGATCGAAAAAGCATTCTCGGTCTATAAAAAATAATCAAGTTATAATTGAAAGACCGATTAAAGAATTGTCGAATATGTTCCAATGAAATGTGCTAAAAAGTGGCTCGTTTGCGTGTCAAAGAAAAGTGAAAACAATCTCAAATCATCTAATTCTAGCGAACAGCAAATGGGTACGAACCTTGAACGATTCATAATATCCAATAATGTGAGGATGATGAAGGCGCTTTAGCAATGTTACCTCGCCTAAAATAGTTGCACAAGAAACCTGAAATTACTTAAAAAACACAAAATCATCATATCGACTGTTCACTGAACTCATCATTTTGAATGGCGAAATGTTTAACATGTGTAGTTCATTTAACCACTATCTTCAAATAAGATTAAAAGCAGTAGCAGCACAACTGATAAGAATATCGAAATACCAATAAAAGATCATAAAGAATACTAAATGAAAGCTTATCTCTTGTAATACTATTTGAAATTAGATCAGCAAAAAACAAATAAACAAACCCATGATAGCATTCTGCTCCTCCTCAGCGAGTCCCTCTAATGCTACTGTTTTGATGATGACTTTTTGTCGGAAAACATCATCTTTACGTTGACAAAGCCAACAAACACCATGTGCTCCACGTCCCACTACTGAGATCTTCTCGTAGTCATCCATGTGAACCTTCTGTTGAATTTCTGCAACCTATAAAATAGCTACATACTATAGCTTACTACTTTTTTTCGTACTTTAACGAATAGATGAAAAGTTGGTTGTAAATCGAAATGATAACCGTCATTAATTGCAAACTTCAATTTTCCTCGCTAATTCAATTATAATATTTAAGTTGCCATATATATCACAATCTTTAATTAAGAAAAAAGCACTAAATACCCAAAATGGGACCATCACGAATAACATTAATGTCGTCACTTCCACTCCTCTTCAAGTGGCACTTTTCCATCCAAGGCTCATGTTCAATTCGCGCAACGATAAGTCTTTCCTTCGTAACTGTATTGTTGGACCGTGGGACATCCAAGCAAGAAGGTAGGAAATGGAGAGAGCAGAAGAAGCGCATTTGTTTCGCCAAACTAATTCACTAGCAAAATAAATTTTCCATGCAATTAAATTTATTTATTTCATTCTATATGAATTATGGAATGATAGACATTTAGCATCAGGTAAGTCACATATGAAAGGAAACGTATGGAAATGTATGATTATAGAATTTATTCTTCTGATATGCGAATTGTCCAAGGATATGATACATTCAACGAGTTGTTCCAAGATAAAGTATTTCAAGATCAAAGGAATTATCCCGCCAATTGCGACTGTGCGATATGCTCTTCATGTCAGCTACTCTTCTTAGGCTTGCAATGGGAAATGAATGTCGGATCATCTCAGGTAATTATACATCTCGCATTTTTCATCGATCCACAAATTTCACATACGCTTCTACAAAATATACCTATATATATTTAAGTAGCCATTATCACTATCTATATACATGCACATACACACACACACACATGTACACACGTACACACGTATACACACGTACACATACGTAGACTGATAGACATTTGCAAAAACTTAATGCATATTTTAGTTAGGGTATTTACATATGCAAAGATATGGTTGAAATATTTATTTTGCTAATTATGCAATTTTATCTATTTTACATTTAAATTGGATAATTAGATGTAAAAAAGTAAAACTGCATAATTAAAGACAGTTTCGAATAACTATATAAAACGAGTTTTAAATCAAACATTCAGTTTTTGCTTCAGTCGACGAACGTAAAGGTTGCTTTGTTGGTATTTACTTAGTGGAGGAATATCGAGGGGATGAATGGAGACTCTCTGGGAACTACAACACCGGAAATACCCCATATTAATCGATCGTTATCCTTTAACATCTCGTTCCCTTAGTTGGATGCTAAAAATTGTCCCTGAATTCCTAAATTCCCGACATTGCAGGATAATCTAGCGCATAATGGGTGATGCTCCAGCAGAGGGTGCACCGCCAGCAGAAGGTGCACCACCAGCAGAGGGTGCACCGCCAGCAGAAGGTGCTCCAGCACCAGAAGGAGGAGCTCCACCAGAAGCTCCTGCAGCTCCTGAAGCTCCTGCACCTCCCGCCGGACCACCAACGTTGAACATCGATCCACCAGCAGCTCAGGTACCTGCTGCGGGCGGACAGTCTATACACCAGATCTCCAATCCAAGCGGTGTCCGTTTGGCTTTCAAGGTGTTACATAGCTTTGAATTTATAAATAATTTCATTCAACTTATAGAAAAAAGGGATCCTGTAAAAGAGATTTTCATTTGTAGGTAAAGTCAACGAATAACAACGATTACCGCTTGAAACCGGTATACGGATTCGTCGAAGCCGGTGCAGCAGCTCCATTGGAAATCACTCGTACAGCTGGACCACCGAAAGAAGATAAATTTGTCATTCAGTTCAAGGAAGCAGCTGCAGATGCCTCTGATGCTGCGGCTATTTTCAAGAATGGACCACCAATGGGGGAAGTTACCTTGCCCATTATGGCCCAATAAATATTCAACTTCTTTCTTGGATATCCTGGATCGCAACCTTGTCCTAACCTATCCAATCAATAAAGAATTACTTCCAAAAACTGATTTATGATAAGTGTGCTTCGATCTACTGAAGTAAATTTTTAACAACAAATCAGCAGATCCCATACATCAATATGGATAATGTATATTATCTATATAACTTACTCGATCATTCCTGCTAATATTGATCTCTCCAGACATGTAATAAATATGTGTTTGTGATGTTCACACATAATATTGCCCTTCTTTGAAACCTCAAACGATTTAAATTCCTCATCAACCTTGGCATCTCTAATGAGTCGCATGTTATAAATATTCTCGATTGTAATTGATATATCAGTGCATCCACTGAAGGAAGGGAGTTTCAGGGGATTTGCTACTGATAACGTCAGATAACGGAGATTCCGAAGATTGCGTTTCTTGAATCGTTCAAGAGTAGTTAAAAACCGTTGGCTATCACTTAGTTACATGCTATTAGATGTGCATCCCGTAGTAGTCACAATATTTAGATGAGTCATAAAGTTGAAGTGACGATTCGTCGTCTGGTGGTGGTGCCATTGGGATGCGGATTGCATCACGATTACCCAAATTTAAAAGTGCGCATAGGGAGTCACGCTTGGACATTCCGCTGCGATATTTTCTCACCACGTGTGGGTACGTATTTACCAGTTTGTTTTAAATGCTTGAAAGGTTGTCGTTCAGTGCTTAATGAGATCATTCGTTACGATTTCTCTCGTTTTCATGCAATAAAGCGAGCAGTAATGCAGTCAGTTTATTAATAAATTAACAATCGCGTTAATAGATTTTCAGAGAATGTTTAATGTCTTCCGATTTTCAATATTTATTTTAATGGTGGATCTATCATTACTGATGTATGGGTGATAAGTGATAAGTTATCCGATCAATGAGTATTAGTCCTGTGCTTATTGTAAGCTATACTTCCATTGTTTGAATTGATTTCTTGAAAAAACTATGACATATGAAGTATCAGAATAATTCTCATATAACATTTAAAAATGATAAATGCAGTCTCGATTATCTTAGCTTAGCTGTATTTTATGGCAAAAAGTTTGTATGACGTCTCAAAATTTATTTTACTCCTGAAAACAATAGTAAATGAAGATGAATGAATTTTCATTAACAAATATTAGACGTTAACTTTCAGTATTTTCTACTATTCTTTGATATGACTTTAAATTAAGTCTAAATCCTTGTGCTGACTACATACGATGTATGTAGTATGTCGTATGTGGTATGAAATTGGAAGATATTAAACATTCTCTGAAAATCTATTAACGCGATTGCTAATTTATTAATAAA